TTTTTCCCACTGGATTTTTATTCATTTCTTGCCGATGCAGAACGGTCTAAGAACAGTGCGACATTTAAAGACATTGGGAATCCTGCTCCCTATTGACCAATGGCTTCTATGTGTTTGATTTTCTGATCTGTTGTTTGCGAATCAACAACTTTGTAAAGTAGTCCGAGGCGACCGCTGTTGTGATTAAAGGCTACACACAAATACTTGGAATTGAAAGGAATTGTATGTGTAGATGATTAGAAAGTTAGAATGACTGTTTCATGACCAATATGTATAAATGCAGTAGGAGATGACAGGAATGAGCTAAAAGATTGGGTGTAGGGTCAGAGAGTGTTTGGGGACGTCCTGTCTGAATGAGAGGGAGGGACTAGAACCATATAAGCCCCTCTGCTTCGTTCAAACTCCTTTTCAATCTGTGTCTTCGTTTTTTAACTTTAATTATTTTTATTCTTAGTGTATTTCATAATGAAGTGCACTTTTTACCTCAATATTTGTACAAGTTTGAAATAAATAATTACTAAATCTGTAGCCTCATTCACACTGAGGAAAAACACAGGCTTTTCAACGTAAAAAACACAGCCGTCCCACTGTGGCACCATTCACCGAGGTCTCCCATCACAGTACTAACCAGGACCTGTCCTGCTTAGCTTCATAGGTCTCACAGAGGATCTAGCTTTTACATAGAAGTGGCACCCAGATATGTATTAATGAGGCAACAATGTTTACAGAGATAAAACACACTTTTTATTAACAAAATCCGTACATTTAAAAACAAACAGATGTAAACACAGGCGTGAGGCTTCCACAGGAGCCAGAGCAGGGACAGCTGTGGATCATAACTCAGACGTGTTTCTGCTTTTGTCTTTCTTGTTGTGAACAGAAGCGGCGCATCTGAAGCTGAGGTTGTCGGAGGCAGAGTCGGGGGTATTTCCCATCCTGAACACAAACAGAAAAGCCAGATTTAGACAGTAAGTCGTGGGTTGTGTGGGTGAGTGACTAAAACAGTGACTTAAAGACATACAGTAGAGAGCAGCAGAGAGGAAGAGGCAGAAATGATTTGAAATGTTTGGTTGACAGGTGATGATGATGATGATGATGATGCATTGGTTTTGTACAGCACTTTTTTGGACACTCAAAGATTCAGATTTGTTTTATTTTCCTTGTGCGGTAAACCACATTTGGCATACATTTGCGAAAAAAAGGTACTCGGTGTCGCTTCACATCATTCATTCATTCTCTCCATGAATGAATGAATGAATGAACTACTGTACTACTGTAGCCACGGCTGCCCTGGGGCCCACTGACAGAAGCGAGGCAACCAGTATGTGCTATTAGCCCCTCCCCCACCAACCATTCACACACACCAGACTCATTCTAGGCAATGTGGGTGAAATGTCTTGCCTAAGGACACAATGACAGTTTGGCACTTTACAGCCGCAGTCGCCCCACTGTGGCACCTGGTGTTCCCAGAGGTCTCCCATCACAGTATTGACCAGGCCCTGCCCTGCCTCAGAGGTCTGACAGGATCTGAGCTGAGGCCACTTTTTTTAATTTGTTATTCCTATTTATTGTGACCACATTGCATCTCGCCACCACCAGAAAACCCATGCACCCGACCCACAGGTTGAGAACCAAAACAATTAGTAAGAATATTAATGTTTTGGTATTATCTAGAGCTTTCTGGAAACTCAAACCCACATTATCAATTTACTCCAACCACAAAAACTTTCATAATAATACTAATGATACTAGAGACGGATTTCAGAAAGGCTATGCTAACGGCTAACGAGCGTGGTTAATTAAAGTGGGCGGACCTGGTGGTGATCCGAGCCTTGTGATTGGCCGATCCGTCCTGCGTGTCGATCCAGGACGCCCCCCTCAGCACAAACATCTTCTGGGCTCCGGAGAACGGCGTCGAGGTCCACTCCCACGTGTTTCCCAACATGTCGAACAGACCTGAGGACCACCGCAGCTTTAGCTCCTCCCACAGCAGTCAAAATGACGGCTTTGACTCATGCACATGGACGGTCTTGAACTCTTTTAATTCTATATGTGGTTTCTATACAGCAGGGGTCTCCAACCTTTTCCAATCGAAGAGCTACTTTTATACCAACGAAGAGGCAGAGAGCTACTCCTTTTTGCAGTCGTAATAAAAATCTATCTCATAATTACTATTAAACATAAATACTGCATAATCCTATACTAGTAAATATGTAATGGCTCAAAAAATATTGATTCAATTTGTTAAATTCTAAATCCTTTGGCGAGCTACCTGAAAGGGGCTGGCGAGCTACTGGTAACTCCCGAGCCACAGGTTGGAGATCCCTGCTGTACAGTATAATTTGGTCTCTCCCTCTCTGCTCTCTGGTCTCTCTCTCTGGTCTCTCCCTCTCTCTGGTCTCTCCCTCTCTCTGGTCTCTCCCTCTCTCTGGTCTCTCCCTCTCTCTGGTCTCTCCCTCTCTCTGGTCTCTCCCTCTCTCTGGTCTCTCCCTCTCTCTGGTCTCTCCCTCTCTCTGGTCTCTCCCTCTCTCTGGTCTCTCCCTCTCTCTGGTCTCTCCCTCTCTCTGGTCTGGTCTCTCCCTCTCTCTGGTCTCTCTCTCTGGTCTTTCCCTCTCTCTGGTCTCTCCCTCTCTCTGGTCTCTCCCTCTCTCTGGTCTCTCCCTCTCTCTGGTCTCTCCCTCTCTCTGGTCTGGTCTCTCCCTCTCTCTGGTCTGGTCTCTCCCTCTCTCTGGTCTCTCCCTCTGTCTCCCTCTCTGGTCCCTCTCTCTCCCCCTCTCTGGTCCCTCTCCTTCTCCCTCTCTGGTCCCTCTCCCTCTCCCTCTCTGGGCTCTCTCTCTTTCAGTCATTTTTGCTTAGAGATTTAGTCGCTTCAAATCTAAATTATTTTGTTATATTTACCATAATTATTCTGCGGAGGAAAAGCGTTCACCGGAGAAGCACCATGAAACCCATCCTCAGCCGTATCTTTGTCTGGAAATGTTCCCTAAAAAAACACATCTTGATGTTATGATTTGCATGTTCTCCCTGTGTCCGTGTAGGTTTGTTCTACCACTTAACACATGTACAATAAAGTCCTCCCCACGGGAAAAAAAACTTCTGTGAGTGACACAGAAAGTCTTTATATTTAGAGTTAAACGTTGTGATATATGCATTTATCACAACTGAGAGAGACCAGAGAGACAGAGACCGAGAGAGAGACCAGAGAGAGAGACCCAGAAATGGAATTAAGAGGAGGGAAAATAATTTTAAACTGTAGCTTGAGCAGAGGCTGAGGCGAGAAACCCTTTTAGATTTGGACATAATCAGGTTAATAGATCTACTTTGTCACAGACGCAGCACTTTTCTTACAAACACAGAAGCTCCTACCATCTACACTGAGCTCATTCATTCCGTCTGAGGCAAACTGTGGATTTTGTTTAAAAAATATGACTAAAAACTGTACATAGAAGGACAATGCTAACCCTTATGCTAGCCCAGGTGTGTCAAGCTCAGGTCCGAGGGCAAAATACGGCCGGCAAGATCATTTTTAGCGGCCCCTGAAATTGTCATTATTACAGTAACTTGGAGCGTTGATGGTAATGGCAACTTTGGCATTATTCTATACATTCTAAAGCTTTGTTTCCCAGAAAAAACAACCAGATAACGGAATGTGTTCTAAAATTTATACCAATATATTTAAGAAATAAGTAAATAATACAAAAATGTATGTTTTTAAACTAGAATAAAGTCATTTTGGGGCTAGCATTGTTTTCAGAAATCTTGTCAAGTCATATTTTCTTGTTCTATTGGAATATATTTGTTCTTATTTTAAGCAGTATTTTACTTATTTTCAAGGGATTTTTTCCAGTGCATGTAATGCACTCAGCGACAGCCTTTGACAGCTCGTCCTGATAGCATCGCAGAGCTCTGGTTCAGGACATAGTTCTCTCGGTTCAGCGGTGGTGCAGACTCTCACACTGCATAAACTATTTCAGATTTTTTATCCAGGACCTAAGACTTATTTTGATGCGGAATTGGACCAAACAGAGACTTCAAAGCACTACTGCACTTCTGTCTATGTTTTCTGTAATGTTCCTTTTTATTTTTATTTATTCTTGCAGATTTGTGTAGCATTGTATCCCACAGCAAAGTTTATCTTATCTTAGAACACGGACCTGCCACAGATTTGCCCTCTTCTCTTTAAACTGATTGCCCCAAGGAAACGTCCGGCCTGAGCAGAAAGAAAACACACTCATCAAATCTACACTATTTATATAAAAGCTTCATGATGCATTTTATTTTCAAAACAGTAGAAAGTAGAGATAATTTAGTCTGAAACATTGGAACAACAACATTATTTTTATATAGTTTTAAGAGTAAGTCCATCTTCATGCAGAATATTTTGTTAAAACTTCAGGTCAATGAGACCATGGCACGGTTTTCTGACCTCCAACAGGAGCAGACAGAGATGCAGGCGATAAACTATTTAAAATCAACCCTGAATCTGACATGAAGTGAGGCCAGCACAGGGGTAATGTGCTCTCTCTCTCACAAGTTCCTGTGAGTAAGTGCGCAGCAGCATTCTGGACCTGCTGAAGGTGCTTAACCGAGCTTGGGTCCAGTCCCCAGTGCAGCGCGGTTCTGGCCTTGTATGTTTTAACTGAACACATTGTTTGAATTTTATAAAAAGTGTGAATAGACAATAAAGTTAAGTTAGACTGATAACATCCGCACATGTTTTGAGTCTGTACCTTCCATCCCTCCTCTCGCGGCCCACTCCCACTCCTCCTCGGTGGGCAGCCTCTTCCCTCTCCACTCACAGAACATCTTGGCGTCAGTCCAGCTCACGTGGACCACAGGGAAGTCCAGACGCTCCTTGATCCCGGAGTCTGGACCTGCGGGCTTAAAGGCAGGTGTTTCTCAGAGGTCTCCCATCACAGTACTGACCAGGCCCTTTTTATAAAACAAAATGTTGCACCTGGAGCACACTGCACTAATTGTGGCACTAATAGAGCTCGAGTATGGTGTAAGTGGGACTCATACTAAAGTGCTCTTGTATAAATCACCTATGACCCGTGTCTCTGCTCAGATATGTGGCCTCACCTGTCTCCAGAACGCACGCCACACCGGCAGCCACCACGGCGCTGACTGAAAGAAAGCAGATAACACAGACGAGATCCAGAGATAAATACAGCTGCTCAGAAGTTCACAGGTACTGGCATTGTTTTCTATAACCCTGTATTCTCCAGAGATTGGCTCCAAGCAGCACTCTGGCACTAGATAGTAAAGCGTACTGAATACACAACCAGGTAGAGTAGAGTAGAGTAGTCGTAAAAAACATCAAATAAACATTAAAATAAATAAGAAATAAGATACAGTCCTTCAGTTGAATCCACAGCTAAACAGATCTGGATTTGAACATTGTCAGGATAGAAACCTGTGTCATACAAAGAAGACCAAATTTGACTTCATGTACCTTTATCCTCTCTGTGATTTTGCCTCTGGTCTCCTCTGGCACAAAATCTTCAAACACAAAACTCCAGCCTATTGTTTCAGCTTCTGTTTTGTACTTGTTGGCTCTCACAAACTCTCTGCAAGGCAAATTTATTTGTTTAGCTCAGTTCATACAACTCAAAGTGCTTGAAAAAAATAAAAACAATATAGAAACAACCACACAAGGCATTAAAATCTTAAATAATCACAGTACACTAAAAAGAGTGAAGATACTATCCTTCAGTTGTATGCAGCTAAACAGACTAATGTTATTGTACTGCCGGTATTTAACCTTTTCAATAACATGTCGTTCCTTAATAAAGAGTATATGGTGTTGTTTATATTACCTGAAGTCTGCATTAGTCACAGGGAACTTGTCCATTTTAAAAGACAGGACTTTGACTTTTCTCACTGGGGATTCTCCATCTCTGCCATCAGATGCACTGGTCCCCATCAACAACGAACCTCCAGGGATTTCCACCATTTCCTCTTCAGAAGTCACTACTAATGAATAGTTCAACACCTTCGTTCACTCAATTCAATAAGCCAAGAAATATGACCGTAGTAATAAGGAAGTGAGAGACATTTACCTGCTGCTGGGAGCGAACAGACAGCTGCAAATATCACAATTATAAGCATTTTGTCTTGAGTTAGAGTGTGGCTTTTACATGTCATTAAAATAGTTTGAATTTTGCATTAAAAAGATCAAAGTCGAGGTAGTTTAATTAATACTGAAGTTCATTGAAAAGTTGACGTTAATGCGGACGTGTGCTCAACTAAAGCGGTCCGGCCCGTCGCGCTACATGACTAGCTAAAGGTTCCGTTGGCAATATTATCTTTAAAAAACAAAACCAACAAAAAACCCCGATACCTTTACTAACATAATAGCATCACTTGTTTTTGTAATTTTTGATTGACAATTCACTCAGAAATACACTAAACAATCTTTAGGGATTATTTTAGGCTGTGTAATTCAAAGAAAGCACTTCGGTTATATGAAAATATTGTGAATTTACCTCTGAACCTTGTGACTCAGTAATGTGGCTTTCCATGTTCTTGTTTATGTTTGCGTGAAATTGTTCTAAATATGTAACGCTGATTTGTTTTTCAATAAAAAATAAAAATAAGACCAGAGTTTTGTTCAGAAGGTGGAGAGCTGTTCTTTTGTAAAATCTGGGAAAAAACTATTCCTTCTAGAGTCAGATGTTAGCTTAGCATAGTTTAGTGCAAACCCTACTTCCATTATGCTCCTCGTAAATGGAAGGCTCATCTTTACAACAAACATGCAAAGACAAGTTAGAGACATAAAGCTGCAGTTCCTCTCTACATATTGAATCTAAGTCTACATTAACTTTTAACAGCCTACTACTATCCATTCATCCATTTTCTTCTGCTTTCCCTGTCGCCCTGACTCAGAGACAGCAGTCTTAGCAGACACCCCGATTTCACTGGCCACGCTGTCTCTCCAACTCATTCTTGAAATTAAATAAATGAAGTGCCTTTAAAGTAATAAGCTTGTGTGTGTAAAGCTGGGAAATATCTCTCAAGCCTCATTTCTGCTCCACACCAATATTTTGTCATAAACCAAACATGTATTGAAGAAAAAACAAGCCAAGTCAAGAGCCAAGAAGACTTTTTAATGGGTAGAAACAAAACCAGGTCACATTGGTCAGTGCTTAACAAAATCTCATAAATAAACTCATTGATTCAGATGTAACTTTTGACGAATCGATGGAAAACACTTATAATTGACAGAAGAGTCCGTAGTCGGGGGAAGCAGAGGCCTAAACTCGAGAATACAGCTACGATTTAACCTTTCATTGACGACATTCCAGCTCTCATGATCTCGTCGACAAGAAGGATGTTGCTAGCAATGACCGTGCTGAAAGAAAAGAGTAAAACATGAGAAAACAAGACATTTTAGTGTTTTCTATCATTTGAATAGTTTTACCATGAGTGGAGGAGCTGCTTCTTCACACTGTAGTTGTCCCATACTCCTGCCTCTCCTGCAACCATCGGCTCACCTGCCACACAAGATAAGATTAGCCAACCTTTAGAAAAACTACGAACTTGCTAGTGGTATGTATTTATATGTGAAAATATGGGTTAGGTTTACTGAAGTGCAAGTATGGAATGATAGTGGATGGTGAAGACAAGACAATGGACTACTCAAAACATTAGAGCCAGAAAGAAAATATACAAGGTCAAAAAGGAAAACTAATACTGAAGTAATATGAGCCATGAGACAAAGACATTTCATAACTTCTAAACTGTGTATAAGTAATAAGGGTTTGCAATACGAGTTCAGATGACTAAGAAATGTGAAATTATGAACAGAAAGAATATCTAAAATTAATATAATTTGCAATGTATGTTATATGATCTATAGTCACTTTGTAAACATTGAAAGTGTGTAGAAGACTTTTTGCTCAAGTCTGGATCCAGGAGAAAACAGCACATAAGTGAATGTACTGCCCCCTAGTGTCTGTGGTGGAGACTGCACCTGTGTTGAGGTCCACTCCCACCAGCTGCCCGGACTCTTTGTACTCAGTCTGCAGCTTCAGCAAAGTCTCCTGAGAATCGTAACCAGAGTTTGTTGCCAAGACCTGTAAAAAGGAGAAAACACAATTTATAATTCATTTTGTGTGGATCAGAGAATGAAAAAGTCAAGTAACCAATTTAAAACAGAAATCTGCAAAAGACATATGGATTGAGATATTTTGTAATGCATTTCCTTAAAAACTAACCCAAACCCAGTTATTTGGTTCATAATTGTCACCATTTGGCGTTTTGGGGCTCCGCCTGCAAGATCATGCAGCTTCCTGGGAGTATGACTTCCTGGGAGTTCCCTTTAACAAAAACACTAACAAACAGCGTTGGGCACGTTACTTTGAAAAATTAGTTATAGTTACTTCTCCCAAAAAGTAACTGGAGTTACTCCACTATAAAAGTAACTATTGCGTTACTTTCTTGAGGTACCGAGCTTTAGCTGGTTGTAATTTAGGATAACTTCTAAGTAGATTAATTATTGCAACAACACCACCCTATTTAAGTATTATTATTACTATCATCATCATCATCATATGTCAGTATAGGGAACTGTCCTGTAAAGCACAAGACAGGCCAAGGTTCCTTTTAAATTACATTGTATTTCTTTGTATACATTGATAAAACATAACACAATTTGCAATTGAAAAGATACTATTTAAAAATAATTAGTTCCCACAGACACACACGGCCCCTCCGTTCAGCAGCCCTCGCGCCTAACAGACCAGAACGAGGGAAAATACAGTGCGCTGAGCGCCCTGCTGAGGCCCAGCAGGGCGTGTGGGCAAACAATTCATTGTGCGACCTGAGTAACGAGCAGTAACGGGGTGTCTGCAATGATAACGGTGTTATAATTACAGTCAAAGTAGTCATACGTTAGTAGTCACTAGTAACGCCGTTATTCCAATCACTGCTAACAAACCTTAGAAATTACTATGTGTATGACTAAGTTTGGTCGGGTCTTGTTACTGACAGGTCCTGACTCCGTTCCAGTCGAGATAAAGACCGTAATGAAGACTTGTGCTCTAACCTTTGGGATGATGAGGAGGGCGTCTGCGAAGGCCTGGACTCCCAACTGGGCTCGGCCTTTGACGCTGGGTTTGTGTTTCACTAAAGCATCAGCAATGGCCACTTCAATGGCACCGGCGCCTGAGACCACGCAGCCTGAGGACGGAGAGAGGAGGGACAATCACTGACACTGAAGAAACCAGGACTTTACAGCAATGTGGAGAGGAGACAGAGGAAAAATTATCCAATTACTTGTGGACCAAATAAAAAAATAAAAAAAGGAACCATTCGCAAACTCAATGAGGCATACAACGACTGCTTGAGGATTTTATTAAAAATGCTTTTGAGTCAGCTGGACTTTGACATTTCAGGCCATTCGATGTCTGTTGCATGGTTTCATCTGTTGGCTCAATGAAAGCTAGAAAATTTCAATCATAATGACATGTCAAATTCAGTGCTTCGTGGTACCAGTCAGATCTGTGGAGACACGGGCACAGCTGTTTGGACAAATCTGGTGAACACAAGTGGTCCTCCAACTAAAAAGCTTGGAGCTAGTAGTAGTTTTGTGCTGGTCGTCTGAATACATGACTGACAGATGAAGGCTCTCGTGATGCAGAGGAAACAACCAGAGTGACTGTAGCACAGACTCAGGACCAGAGCGGCCCACAGGAGACGCTCCGGGTGTTCGCTGTGCATTCTACAGACTTTTAAATCAAAAAAGAACAAAAAGGGAAATGACTGAAATTGTCTGCCATAAAACAAGACATTATCCAAACTAAAATCAGAAAAGAAAACCATTTAGCTGATAATACATTATAACCAATATTTTACAATGTGCAGCTCAGAGTTTGGCCCAGTTTTGATTCAAGACAAATTGACAAGAACAAGATCCGATTCCATTTGTTTTGCGGAAATGTAATCTGAGATCTTGCTCCACTTCTCGTATTATAGTCAAAAAACCTCTCAAAGAGTTACAATAAGTGTGTACATTTTACCCCAAAAGAAAAAAACTAGATTTATGTCCGGACTATAATCCAATACTTTTGAATGCGTTTTTTAACCCTGCAGCGCATATAGTGATGCAGCTAATATATGCATCATTATGGAGGTAGAGTTGGGCTGTTGTCAGAGCAAAGTTAACTGGCTCCTGCAAGTTTTGGTAGAAAAAAAAAACAGTGGTCTTTCTGCTGCTATAAAACATGAAAATTGTAAATTTCTCCATTGTGATATCAATAAAGTTGATCTTATTTTAACCCGCAGCTTATATTCCAGTGCAGCCTATATGTGGACAAAATGTACTTTCTGTCTTTGGCTCATGTACAGGTGCACCCAAGAGTCCAGAAAGAACAGTAGCTTAAATATCAAACGTATAAAGGTCTTTCCATGTTCAGGTAAGATTTTTTTGTTGCATTTTGTCAAACTCAATTGGTTATTTTCTCCTCACTGAACCTCATTTGAAAAAACAGACACTTGGTTGGAGAGTGGACAGATGCCGTACCGTCTTCGATGGCGTTCTTGACGGCGCGGAGTCCGTCCCTCACGGCGTCTTTGATCTGAGTCAGTGTGTGTTTGTTTGGGCCTTTGATCAGCAGCGTCACAGACCGAGGGTTTCCACACTTCTCAATGAACGTGTACTTCTCCTCTCCCTGAACAAACCGTCAAAGAGTGGGTTAAATTATAGTCAAATCTAACAACAAACTGCCCTTTTGTTTATAATTAGCTTTAGCCTAAACCAGGAAGTACAAAGGACTTGAATGTATAAATAATGAGTAAATGATTCTCACCAGTGTGTGTTCATAAACCAGACCAGCGTGTCCCAGACATTCCGGAGTCAGGTCTTCCACAGAGTTCATTGCGATCCCGCCGCAGGCAAGAGTCAGTCTGCGGAACAAATAAGAAAATAATTAGCAGCAGTTTTGAACCCATTTACAAATAGAAGTGTACAGAGAGAGCAACTTGTGACGTTAACGCAGAGGAAAAGCCTTGTCGGCCCCCTTGAACCTTTCAACATTTTGCCACATTTCAGGCTTCAAACAAAGATATAAAATTTTCATTTTTTGTCAAGAATCAACAACAAGTGGGACACAATCGTGAAGTGGAACGAAATTTATTGGATAATTTAAACTTTAACAAATTAAAAACTGAAAAGTGGGGCGTGTAATATTATTCGGCCCCCTTGCGCTAATACTTTGTAGCGCCACCTTTTGCTGCAATTACAGCTGCAAGTCGCTTGGGGTTTGTCTTTCAGTTTTGCACATCGAGAGACTGGAATTCTTTCCCATTCTTCCTTGCAAAACAGCTCGAGCTCAGTGAGGTTGGATGGAGAGCGTTTGTGAACAGCAGTCTTCAGCTCTTTCCACAGATTCTCGATTGGATTCAGGTCTGGACTTTGACTTGGCCATTCTAACACCTGGATACGTCTATTTGTGAACCATTCCATTGTGGATTTGGCTTTATGTTTTGGATCATTGTCCTGTTGGAAGATAAATCTCCGTCCTAGTCTCAGGTCTTTTGCAGACTCCAACGGGTTTTCTTCCAGAATGGTCCTGTATTTGGCTCCATCCATCTTCCCATCAATTTTAGCCATCTTCCCTGTCCCTGCTGAAGAAAAGCAGGCCCAAACCATGATGCTGCCACCACCATGTTTGACAGTGGGGATGGTGTGTTCAGGGTGATGAGCTGTGTTGCTTTTACACCAAACATATCGTTTTGCATTGTGGCCAAAAAGTTCGATTTTGGTTTCATCTGACCAGAGCACCTTCTTCCACATGTTTGGTGTGTCTCCCAGGTGGCTTGTGGCAAACTTTAAAGAGCGACTAAACACCAAATCAACTTTTTTTAACTCATAAACTGCATAAGTATGTTTATTGTAGTGCCGTCTACATATCCTGGTCATTTTTTTGACATTTTAGTTCAAATTAGATAAAATATCACTTTTGAGCCAAAAAACGCTGTGTGGTGCCCTCTCAACCTTTTTGGTTGTACTACATTTGAATTTGGTTCTGGCCTCTTCATTGACTCTGAAGTTCTCTATGACATCAGTTGTTTTGTGTGACGTCAGTCTGTCAGAGCCAGTGATGTGAACCCATTCAACTCTCACACACGCCCCAGCTGCAGTTTGGAGTGTTCTGGCGCCATCTAGTGGATTCAAATAAAATTACATGAGTCATTCTGAGATTATTTAGTGTGATTAAGTTCAGGTGTGTAGCTTTACAATTATCTTAGTGTGTAAACAAGGGTGGAATGAGACTTTCTGGTCTGTAAACTATTGCTTTAAGCAGCAATGACAACTATGTTTTTTTTTTGTGTGACAAGTGAGCTGTCAATCACAGCCCAGACCACGCCCAACTCTAAGCCCCCCTTCTTGTCCCTTGGTCCTCCAGGCAACGCCCTTTTTAGAGAGAATTTTCAAATCTTCATGCGGAGTAAGGCTGGGCACAGGTGTTTAGTCGCTCTTTAAACAAGACTTTTTATGGATATCTTTGAGAAATGGCTTTCTTCTTGCCACTCTTCCATAAAGGCCAGATTTGTGCAGTGCACGACTGATTGTCCTATAGACAGACTCCCACCTCAGCTGTAGTTATCTGCAGTTCATCCAGAGTGATCATGGGCCTTGGGTCTTGACTGCATCTCTAATCAGTCTTCTCCTTGTTTGAGATGAAAGTTTGGAGGGACGGCCGGGTCTTGGTAGATTTGCAGTGGTCTGATACTCCTTCCATGTCAATATAATTGCTTGCACAGTGCTCCTTGAGATGTTTAAAGCTTTGGAAATCTTTTTGTATCCAAATCCGGCTTTAAACTTCTCCACAACAGTATCTCGGACCTGCCTGGTGTGTTCCTTTGTCTTCATGGTTCTTTCTGCGCTTTAAACAGAACCCTGAGACTATCAAAGAGCAGGTGCATTTATACGGAGACTTGATTACACACAGGTGCATTCTATTTATCATCATCAGTCATTTAGGACAACATTGGATCATTCAAAGATCCTCACTGAACTTCTGGACTGAGTTTGCTGCACTGAAAGTAAAGGGGCCAAATAATATTGCACGCCCCACTTTTCAGTTTATTTCTTAAAAAAGTTTAAATTATCCAATAAATTTCGTTCCACTTCACGATTGTGTCCCACTTGTTGAGTCATGACAAAAAATATTTTTTTATATCTTTGTTTGAAGCCTGAAATGTGGCAAAATGTTGAAAGGTTCAAGGGGGCCGAATACTTTCGCACTGTAAATCGTATCCCCACAATCTATAAAAGAAAAGTTATTATTTCGATAAAAAGGATTTATTTCAGTAACTTTATGACACCCTTAATTAATTTCTTTGAGCAAATTACAAGAGATAATGTCTAGAACAAAGTCAGGAGCTGCAACAGTAAAATGTAGCCCTCAGAACACATGAGAGCCGTGAGCTTTAAGGCACAGAAGCAGACACTGGACTCTGCTCACCTCTCCATGTTCCTCCTCTTGGTCCTGCGCAGAGCAACGATGCCTTCTTTCGCCAGAGCGTCCAGAGAATACGGGTCAATGCCCTGAGAGAGAAAGAGAGAGAAAAAGTACATTAAACAAAGTAATAAGGAGCCCATGGGTCACTATTTGACGCTTTGGGCTGAGAGTGTATTTGCTGAACGAGGCTGGTTCTTTTTCACTTCTCAGTCTTAAAAAAATTTGACCTAAAGGGTGTGATAGGTTAAAAGAATAAAATAAAACATGCAAGTGAAACTATTGATAGAACCAAACAAAGCAAGAGACAAGATAGATGGATTTTGAAAGATTCAAATGTAAAATAAATTTCAACTTGATTACAGACTGTACAATATTTAATTATAGATTAACTTATCAAACTGTGTGCATGTTCTGTGCTGGTCCGCTGAATACATGTAGCAGAGATGAGGCTCTCTAATGCAGAGGTACAGACCAGAGTTCATATGGCACAGTGTAGAGACCAGGGGAAGCTACAGAGCACCCATGGGTGTTCACTGTGCAGGTAACAGATTTATGTGATGAGAGAAGGTTGTGGACGTGCTACTGCCACTTTACTGCACAATAAATGTCTCTAATGTGTGTCCTTAGTGCACTTCTATATTGTATTTGCTTTCTTACAATATCCCATATAAAATATATTTCAATACCATTTCTTAGAACTTGATTGCATCTTGAGCTAAAAGCTAATCCTATTTTTTCAATGTCGTTTTGTCATGTTTGTTCTGTTGGGGATTGAACTTTTGTGTTCTAGATGTGTTCATGAGTGTTAATGTTTTTGCTTTGTCGTCTTTAACTAAGATTAATTTTTTATTTAGAGACAAACTGACAATAAACTTAATGGATTCTTAAATCCATTCTTCCGCGGGAGGAGGCCCCGCGGAAGACCTAGGACACGCTGGAGGGACTATGTCTCTCAGCTGGCCTGGGAACGCCTTGGGGTCCCCCCGGACGAGCTGGAGGAAGTGTGTGTGGATAGGGAAGTCTGGGCGTCTCTGCTTAGACTGCTGCCCCCGCGACCCGGCAACGGATAAAGCGGAAGAAAATGGATGGATGGATGGATTCTTAAAGTCTAAAAGACTGCGGCAGATGATTAGATACTTGCATAAAATTCTAAAATAAAAATTGCAGTTTACCAATTATTTGACTCAAACCAATATTTAAAAAAGAATATAAGGCACAGAAATCAGATCTAAAATATGTTTGTAGCTTGTTCAACTTTTAGACATTTAAACTATAGGCTCTCTGTGTTCATGTAAGAAAAAAAAAATAGTCAACCTATTTGCAGTAAAAGTGCCAGACAGAGATGTTACAAGCTTCAAGAGAAAAATAATGCAGGCAAAGTGAACAAAAACAGGTCCATTCTGCAGTTTCCCGTTTGCTCCTCACCTTCTGGTTCAGGACGACGAAGCCCTTCTCTCCGTCGGGACACACTTTGTTCTTCAAAGCGATGATTTTCTGAACCCTGTCCTCGATGAACTTCCTCTCGGCCGCCACCAGCTTCTCTCGCTCGCCCGCACTCTTGTAGAAGAAGCCGGAGTTCACCTCGGTCTTCTCGTACTCCAGAGACAAGTTACAGGTCAGGATGTAGGCGTCCTCCACTCTCTTCTTCATGTCCGGGTGTCGAGCACCGTGGTCCAGAACCAGACCTCGGATCAGTCTGAGGGGAAAGAAACCAGAAGAGTTAGAGGACTACAGGTGTGACATTCTGAAGGTAAAGACTCGACCAGAGCCACGGCTGGATGAGGCGGAGAAAACAGACTGATGAATAAAATCAGTACGTTTGCCATTTTCAAAAAGGTAATTAACATGTGTTAATGCGCTTTCATGAACTTTAGATAATTTACTGTTTTAGATCTAAATAGAAATGTAAAAAGAGACACAGACAGGCCGAGAGAGAAAGGCATAGAGGCTGAGCGGGTAATATAACATAAGCAGTTGTAATGAACGTTCTTTCACTGGAGTACTAATTGTATCTGTAATTCAAGAAAGGAACAACTAAAAACCTTCTACAGCTGGGTAAAAGGTTGGAATAAGTAGTTTTGTGCTGGTCGTCTGAATACATGACTGACAGATGAAGGCTCTCGTGATGCAGAGGAAACGACCAGAGTGACTGTAGCACAGACTCAGGACCAGAGCGGCCCACAGGAGACGCTCCGGGTGTTCGCTGTGCATTCTACTCCATAGAACCAAACTAAGATGAATCAATGTATTTAATAACACAATAAGCAAAAAGGCAAAGTATTGTTTATTATTTGCACGTGTCAAGATGAGACGCTGGGGGAAGAAGTTACACTGTCGTCAGTGTTGTAATACAAATGAACTTGCTTTACTTTTAACAGTATTGTGGAAACCTGTATAAACTACATAAAGGTTAAAATCTGAATTTCCATTACTCTTTCCATTTCTGGAAAGTTTCTAGTAAGTAACCATTGGAGTTTAGCTAGGGCATGTTTTTTGGAAAAATTCCATATTGGAAACTAACAAGGAATTAATAGTTATGTAAATAAAATTGTCTCATATCAAGCATGAACATATATGAAAACACTGATTCGTGTGTAGAACAGAGCACATTTTAATAATTTTAAATTTCAACACTTCTATCAAGTTCCCTATGAAGAGCCAACTTTATCTTTAGTTTCCAGTTTATTCCCATTTTATCTCAAATTCCTGTTAATAGTTTTACAATCCTACTCTTTAGTTCAAAGAAATGAGAGAAATCAACATTGAGTGATTGATGTGCCCCAAAAGACACATAACTTATCACAATCTTCATGTTTTACCTGTGTCCCCAGTTAAAGTTATGCTTGTGATGTGTTTTTGATTCCTGTTTGTGCTTTAATGTGTCACTCACTGTGTGTCGCAGTCGGTCTTGTGCTTCATCTCCATGATCTCCACCATGTACAGGTCGGTCGGCTCGTTGGGTCGAGCGATGGCCAGAACAGCATCGACCACAGCCTGCAACAACAGTGGCTTTTAGACCTCTCCTCTCAGTGGGATTTTTAATACAATCACGTGAAAACTAGAGAATCAATCAGAACAAGAGACTAGTTTGGATGAATTTTTGGAAACTTATTCTAGTGGTTTTGAAAGTTAGGATATTCACAAATGAACAATGTTTATGCATAGATAACGGTAAAACACACTGTATGTTCTGTGCTGGTCCGCTGAATACATGTAGAAGAGATGAGGCTCTCTAATGCAGAGGTACAGACCAGAGTTCATGTGGCACAGTGTAGAGACCAGGGGAAGCTACAGAGCACCCATGGGTGTTCACCGTGCAGTCTAAGCTAATCTAACGGCGGTGGCAATCGTGGATTTTAGAATGTTCATGTTTTTTTTTTACGGACACACAAACAAATCAATAGGACAAAAACACAAACAGAACTCAGAATGTACGAAACTAAATATTCAGGAAAATGGTAAAAAAAAAGTGCAAGCAGGTCCTGCCGAGTCTGTCCCGACTCCTCCAGCCTCCCCTGCTCTCTCTCTCATCCAAGAGACACAAGATAAAGGCCTCTCCATCACGTTACTGTCCCTGCAATTATGGGGAGGCACGATAAAACATCCATGGGGAGGAACCAGTAGCGGACTGTGGCAGAGGCTGGAAGTAGCGGCCTCCTAACCTCCCAATGACCACGACCCTGTGAAGCACTGTTCCATCACTGACACTATGCAAACTGCCCAAAGTTTGTGCTTTGTGTGGTACAACAGTCTCACTAGAATTTCTGCACTGATTCAACACGCTCCTGTTTGAATTGAATACTTTGTATAGAAGCAGGACGTTGTTCTGGGCCAGGGATGTAGTCTGAAATGTCTACAAACTAGTGGCAGGGAGTTTGAATGAAATTGGACACTGACACAATCGGCTGTTTTAAACATTGAATGCTTTTTTAAATCCAGATTGACAGCACTTGAGACATCGTCACTGACATGTAACCGTTTTTATAATCCGCAATTGTATGAAATTGAGTGCAACCGTTTTAATAATCTAATTGTATGCAACTGTATTTAACTTTAGTTCAGGACTCCCTTGATGTTCTTAATCTCAATTGGACTTTCCTGGTTAAGGCTATATCCACACGAAGACAAAACGCTTATAATTTCAGAAACATTTTCTGTAAACACGGAGTTAGCTCAGTAATGTGTGCGTCCATATGAATGTAGTCAATACGCCTGAAAACGCTGTGAAACTATGCCAGACCTGTTGGTGGCGCTGTGACGCAACGACGGGATCAAGCCCAAACTTCCGTGACGGGAACTGGGCATGCGCAGAATTTTGTAAACAGACAACATGGCGAGTGGGCGAGCTGGTACTACATTAGTATGGACGGACGATGAGGTTGAACTGTTGCTTCGGGTCACACTGGATTACAAAACCAACAAGCTACATTGTTGTTGTTATTATTTTCTGAGTGCGGCGCATGCGTGCTTTAACAAGAGGCGGGGCGATGACGCAAGCGTCTCAGATACATTGCGGAGAGGCAGTAACCACGGAGCGGCATATACGGAGTTTTGAAATCTTTCCACTCTGGGACCTACTTTCAAAAATGTTCGTTTACACCCCCCCAAAACGCCGGCCTCGTATGGACGATACACTGGATTGATAAAGTATTTTTGCGTTTAGGCCTGAGCTTGACTTCGTGTGGACAGGGCCTAAATAAAAGGTTAACTCATTGACTGCCATTGACGTGTTAACACGTCAAACTAAATAGTAACGTTGTCTGCCAATGACGTGTTAACACGTCAATTGCGTTTCCCGCTATTTTTACGTTCCCAGCTGTCCATTGAATCTAATATGTGGAGATTGGCTTGAGGCAATACTTTATGGAGCCAGCAGATGGCAGCATTGCGCTATGAATGGTTTGAACACAGCTAGATGCACTGTTTGTGGCCCTTTTTTCTCAGCTTTCTGGTGATTTCAATAAAACTTCCCTCTACTCAACTGGGGATTACAGAAGAACTAAACAAGATAGAAACAAAATTCTTTTTGCTGGTGAGAGTAGACAGCCCATTCTTTCAGAATCTAGTTTTAGATTTCAGATAGTCAAAGTACACAATATTCTGTGGGTCTTGAAAAATCAGTAAAAACCACCAGAAACGGCTGGCAATATGGGAGTACCTGTTTTGAAATGGGCTGGCAGTCAATGAGTTAAAGAAACTGCATCTTGTCTACTCAAGTCGACCGAGGTTTAACTAGTTCCAGCCCTAGCGGTTTCGTGCTGTGGTGTGTTCTGTGTCTCTCCGGTCGTACCTCTGTGAGCAGATCTGCGAGCTCCGCATGGACCTTGGTTCTGAGTGAAGTCCGTGCCACATTGATGAGCATTTCTCTGTTCATTTCCTGCGTCACTTTGATCTCCTCCAGAACGGCCAGAGCCTTCTCCTTCGCCGCCTCGAAGCCCTCTGTGATTATTCGTGGATGCAGACCCTGGAAACAGACGACATGAACCCGAGCCTCAAACAGACTGGATACTAGCACAGGTTTAGCTTTAGCATCCTCTCACCTCTGAAATGTACATGTCAGCTTGTTTCAGCAGCTCTCCGATGATGAGGACGTTTGATGTGGTTCCATCTCCTGTGATGTCGTCCTGCGCCGTGGCCACTTTGGCGATGAGAGATGCTGTCGGATGCTGGATTTGCTGCAATAGAAAAACTAAACGTCAGGCTGAGAATGTGGTTTGCTTCTGCGATAGCTTCATGAGTGCGGGGAGGGGAGCAGAAAGAGCGAGGCCAGCGCTCACATTTGAAACGCTGCTTTGAAATCTCAAAGTGAGTTTGTCCAACTTTAACCCTATATCAAAAATAATAACTTTTGGTCATGTTCAAGCTTGAACATGACCAAAAGTTATTATTGGTGCCTCTGACTACAGGCACCTAGCCTCCAGTCTTGTGTTTTCCTTCCTTATCATTAAATATTTTCTTTTACACTTTTCCAAACACTAAAGCGTTATAGTAACCAGTTAGAGTAGAGCCAAGTAGGGCTGGTGGAAACAGGGCGTATGTCTGGCATGTTTCACAAAATTGTACTTAACATATATTAGTAGTTTAGTTTATAATATACATCTTCACTAATACAACAATTCCCCTGGATTAAAAAAGACAGAACTACAGAGAGAAACCACTTGGGGAAAGTTAAATAGAGAAAACACATTACAATACCGCTTGGGCAGTATTTACCATTTCATGTAACAGAACATTCCCATCTTTGGTGAGTTTAATGTCTCCAGATCCAGACACCAGCCTGAGAACAAGAAACAGAAAATAATATACAAGACTCCAGCTATTCAAATATAATTAAATTGAACCACTTTGGATACAAGTATAGGCCAATATAGTCATTTATCCTTAACAGGAAGTCAAGCTAGGAATTTGCTTTGGCTCAAGATGCAAGTAATAATAGTAAAATAGCTATAACGCAGGCATAAACAAGCCTCATAACAGTTATTAAAATGACTATACAAGTGCAACACAAGTACACACAATAGACATTAAACAGCAGTGTAATTTTCAATAAAAACAATATACATAAGTGTGTTCAATGAAATGTATAAATGTAACTATTCAAAAATGTATACATACATTTAAAAAAAACGTAACCATAATATGAGATGTGAAAATAAAAAAGGTACTTATTTGGCGCAACGCAAATTTAGCAACCAACCAAAATATTGATTCAGACCATAGACTAGTATGTTCAGACAGGCTTCAGCTTCACATGCGTTAACTTCCTCATATCAAAACTACGGCACAAATCGTCTTAAATTGCAAATCCCTATATATGCATTATTGGGCGGTGAAGAACACTATTCAGACAAATCATAGAGGATTGTACTCATTGATTAGCGGTATCAGCGGAGGATTTAGACTGATAATGACAGGCGATGACTGGGCAGGGCAGCGTGGTACATCCCATCATCCATCTTTTTAAGCAGACCCCTACGCAAAAGCCTGTACGAATTTCTAAGTTTGTATTGGCTTGTTTTATAGACACAGACCGGTTGCAACCATGTTTGTGTTGTTTGCTCTGCGATAACGAACCACGCTATCTGCACGAGACGCAGGTTTGAAGTTAGCGCTAGCCTGTTAGCTGCTATTAGCTTCATGTTAGCCTGTTAGCTTCGCGTTAGCTTAGCGACGCGTGCTGCACAAAAGACTCACATTTTCATGGTCCCCTTCGGTCCCAAATTACTCCTCAGCACGTCCTGGAGACCCCGGGCCGCGCTGATGTTGACTGCGAGAGCCGCCTGGGCCCTCGCCACCTCCGCCTTGGGGTTCAGCGCTTTCACCGCAGACATGGCTCTTCCAGCGGAGTGAAGTGTAGAGTGAAGCCGGGGTGGAGTGTTCACCGCTTGGGCTCGAGAGGCTGAAGGGAAGAGCTTCCAGAAGACTCCAGCACGTGGTCTTGAGACGCATTCAGGGAACACGGGGAGAATTTAAGCCAGAAATAAACTTGGTCCACTTTACTACTTTTATTACAACAGGTTTAGATACTTAGGTTGAATGTGTAGTCACTTTGAACCGGTCAATGGTAAGTAATAGAAAGTCATCTTTATTATTTATGTATTTGTTATATCAATAGTTCCCACATGACGTCACTACATACGGGGATTTGCCGACCCGGCGCCATTTGTCTTGGCATGCTGTGGGCAAAACAATAGAAAAAGAAGCTGAAACGTGTTAATGTCGTGATAAAGTTGAAAATGGTCATCTCCTGCTGGGTCAATGGATGATCAAATTGTGCCGGAGGTTCCGTTAAACTTGGATTTTACAGTATACCCATCATTAGACTTCATGAATGTGAGAAGACTAAGCTTTTGTCAGAACAACCACGGAGGTTATGGCTTGCGAAGATAAACAGGCAAGAAACTCCCTCAAAACACGCAAGAATATGCTCGGAGCACTTTGTGTCAGGTGCGTATCGTATCTTATGTGTTGACAGACGTAATTTACTCAGTACTAACTTGTGTATGCTGATATCTGGTAACTTGAGAGTTTCATTATTTAGCGTTAGATTACTTTATTATGAGGAGGATCGGTGTCGCGTCCGAGGCTCTCGAGGGCAACGTAAATGTATTAAATAGATAATAATAGTTCTATGGTGGGCTAAAACAATGTTCACAAACAGCATTGCTTCTGTAAAAAGATCTGTGTCATAAAATAAACTGCTCTTTACGCCTGGAAAAATCAGTTGCCCACCATTCACCAAAACATACGGTCAAAAACGCGGAAATAAACAATAACAGCAATCCAGAGTGTCCGTGTGGCATTAGCATTGATTAAATTAATTGTTAATATAATTAAAATAATTAAATGGAGCTCCAACTGGTATTAAATCTAAAGTTTTTGAGAAATGTTTGCATTGCTTGTTAATTTTTGCTGCATAATTTGATCAAATATGTAAAACATGTCCGTAGCACGTTAAACTGTGGTGCCATTGTATTAATATACAATTATTTGCTCAAAAGTTGCCCTTTTTTTCCAATTTGCGTTTGAATATCTACATTTATTCTCATTCTTCTGTTTACTACTGAACTACATAGTTCCCACAGACCAATGAATGTCACATGACCTCCTCGGAAACGCCATCTTTGATGGCACGCTGCTGTGTTTGTGCATTCCATTAAACACAAACACGATACGCACCTGACACAAAGTGCTCCGAGCATATTCTTGCGTGTTTTGAGGGAGTTTCTTGCCTGTTTATCTTCGCAAGCCATAACCTCCGTCGTTGTTCTGACAAAAGCTTAGTCTTCTCACATTCATGAAGTCTAATGATGGGTATACTGTAAAATCCAAGTTTAACGGAACCTCCGGCACGATTTGAACATCCATTGACCCAGCAGGAGATGACCATTTTCAACTTTATCACGACATTAACACGTTTCAGCTTCTTTTTCTATTGTTTTGCCCACAGAATGCCAACACAAATGGCGCCGGGTCGGCAAATCCCCGTATGTAGTGACGTCATGTAGGAACTATGTATATAGTAGGATTTTCTACTTCCGGGTGGATCATCAACACTATTGGTCCTCCCAATTGTCAATCACTCTGGTAATACGTGCTTGACAAATAAGACCAGAGTTTTGTTCAAAAAGTGAAGTGGGAGGTTCTTTCCTAAAATTTGTGGAAATCCTCCTGTATACCTTTCAATAGTTACACATTCCTATGCCTTTCAATTCGAGCTCTTATCATTGGCTCTTCTGACCAGCCAAGAAATGTTGTTCCAGGTTCTTCTCTCTGGCAGAAGACACCGCTCACTGAGATAAAGGACACCTGGATATGCAAACATTTTATTTCCACGAGATATCAATAGTTTGAACAAGGCCCCGTAATAATCTTAAGATAAGAATTCCTTTATTTGGCCCACAGTGGGGAAATTTCAATCTTGCACTTGTTATTGATTGGTTTCAGTGACAATTGCTTGTTCTTTATTATTTTATGTACTAGTCTGGTGCGCCTGTATTCCAATGTGGTTTTACAGCAGTTGGCAAATATACTGAATTAACTGAAACTACTTATGTTGACATTACTCTGACATTATCTCATTTATCTACTGCCACGGTTACACAATGTATCAAAGTTATCAAGTAACTAAATCACAAACAGTTGCACCTGTTACTTTAATACATCTATGTTTTAAAAGCAATCGTTGCATTAAATAAGTTGCAGATGGAATGATCTAAAATCATGATTCATATTGTAAAGTTATATTGCTGATAATAACAAATAAGATTAATGTTGAATTGACCTGTGTCTTTTCCATAGACTGTAAATATACTGTTCCCTAAAAGAATATTTGTATGAAGATAGATTTGGAGTTTCCATTTTAACTTGAAGGCATCAAGACACAACTTATGTTTATTACGTAAGAACTGGGCGTGACGCTACGCTACTGCCTCCCACTCTACTCCCAAGTAGAGCAGAGAAACGATGGAATAAAACAAATCTATAGTAGTTTATGTAATATCACAACAGTCCTCCATGTGTACACAATTCTATCATTCCTGTACACAAGCCACAATTACTTTGCACAATTACTATGTCGGGGCAAAAATACAGTACAATACAATTTTGCACAAACACACATTACACACAGATGTTTTCTCCCACGTCATGTACTTTTATTAATCAATTCAAAGCTATTCAGCAATTTGATTTTACTGTTGAAATCTGACAGGAACAATAGGTCGGTTTAGGATCCAGCAACAACATTTGATACGACAATCATTTTCAGTAACACAATCTCAAAGAGCTCTCTTGGCATTAACCGTCTGTCAAAGTTCAGGCCAGTGCGCAGTTAGTGTAGAATGGCAAAAGTGCTGTTTAGTTCAATAAGGAAATGGACCACAAGGCATTACCGGATATTCTGAAACACAAGTATCCATCACGCGTATAAAAAAGACAATATTTAGCATTAAAGAACATATATTATGCATTGTGTGTGTGTGTTCACTTTGCCCCTTAAACATTCAGTATGTGTGTGGCATTTCTGGTTATAGAAAGTGAAATAAAAAAGGTAAATATTTGTATGTGACTAGTTTAAGAGATGTCTATAATGCCCCAACACCGTCATCTAGTGGAGGGAATGGGACATAACAATGACATTCTGCTCGTTTTACATCTAAACAACATGACGTGGACCAACTGAAGGCATGCAGTTGTGTTTTTGACGTCATGTGGACAAGTCTCTCCACGGCCTTACACTAACGAACATCTGTGACATGTTAGTGCCATATGAACAAACTTGGACTCTGCGGTGCACAGAACTGGCCTCTAGCTGGTGCCCCAGGTCAGGACTAAACATGGGGAGGCAGCGTCTTAAAATGATAAACCTAAAATCTGCAAGTGTCTTCCTGAAAATGTGATAAAGGCTTCTACTCTGATGATTTTAATGCCTTGTGTGATTGTTCAGCTAAGCACTTTGAGTTGCCTTGTGTATGAACTGTGCTATACCTGCCATGCAATATCTTAGGATTAATCATATAACGCCAGAATTTTGATGGAGAACAATAGAAAATAGGGGCTGGAGGACATAATTGTAATTTATTTTTGATAGTAGAAGGGATAAGTGATTAAACTCCAGGAATATCATATAAACGTTGAATTTTTACTTCGCAATTGTTCTAAGCCTGGATCACAAGCCATATCTTTTCGGAAAGCTCCCAACACCCCAAATTCTGAAGGTTCTGGACCAAGAGCAAGTTTTGTCTTTTCACAGATCAAACTTGACAGAGAGAGTGATCTCCACATTGAGTTTATAAATAAGGCCTCAAGTGAGTCCCAAGACAAAGAGCTAAAGAGATATGCAAAATATATGTACTTCAAAACAAAAGCTTATCTTGTTTGTGTGCGCATCTGCAGTTCAGCCTCAGAAACAGTGATTATACAGAAAACTGAACCAGGGGAAAGGTCCAGCAGTCTCCACCCCATTTCCGACAATTATTATGTGAAAAAATGTTATTTTTTTTTAGAGATGTTGTATACAAATAAAAATCAACAGGCTCTTTTCCATACATTTTGACCCATAACATTCAAATGATTGCTGGTATATACACTGAATAGAATTTTTTTAAAACAAAATACATTGACCAAAAATGCTAATGCCAACTAGTGCAAATATTCTCAACTTCACCCACATTATCGTTAACAAATTAAGACATTTCAAACTTGAATATCTTCTGTAATTTCTAAAGCTGTAATTTGACAAGGTTGAACGAGGGCCGTTGGATTAGCATTAGTAAAAGGCGACGCATGCCCTGCTATAATCTCAGTAACACGATCTTTAGCTAGTAACACAAAAACAAAAGCAAAGCAGATAGAAACCCCACATGATGTTTTGTTTTCTCGGGCAGTGCTCTCTCCTCTCTGTTGTTCCGGATCGTTCCAGTTACTTTAACGGTGACGTCTTCATAGGAATCATTATCCTACAGTCCATGGTTTGAATCAAAGGGACTGCGGAGAGCAGGGAAACGGAAGGGGACATTTTAGTTGTATATCACATTTCATACACTTAATACACATACATTGAAAAAAAGAAAAAAAAAGTTAAAAGAATGTCTCAAATTTGGCAAAATGTATCAATTTGAGAACATTTTGACTTCCTTAAAATAAAATTTGACAATGGGACAATCTTGATCTTGAAAAGGATGTCTCCCTTGGAATGAGGAAATAAAGGAACAGTTCTTTTAAAAAAAGACTAAGGCTTCGTCCCATTGGAGAAACTTGTTTTACCACAGTCAAAATGTACAAAAAACACCCAATTCAAGCTATTATTAACTTTTTTTGCATTGTACACATACATTGTGAGATCAATACATTTTTATCTTATACATTTCCAAAAACAGCGCAACAAAGGGATAATAGTTGTTAGTTAAGCTTATGGAAGAGAGCATTATTTTTGGCCAGTCAAATTTAAGAGACTATTTACTTTTAATGTTTAAGAATCTGAAATAATATCTTCATAAGAAAATAAATGGTGAAATAAGAATGAAGGGTAAAAAAATGTGTTCTGCTTGCAACTCCCTTTCCTACCACCAGAGGGAGGAGTAGAATGGTTTATTCAGAATTTGAAGATGACAGGCTGCAAACACAGCTGTGCGATTACAATCTGTTACAAAGAATGTCATTTCACCTGAAAAATAACCTAAACTATTTTATGGGAAATAGTGAGAGCTGTGATGTCATAGTGATACAATGATATCATACAGTTACAGGAGCTTTTAGACAGAAGGGGCGGAGCTACATGTTTGTACGAGAAGTTCCTAATAGCGTGGATGGTTCCAAAAACAACTCTAGGTTTGTTTTGGATTGGGTTGGACTACGTGACTCTTTGGGCTGTGAGCTGATTGGCTGAGTGAGGCTGGTTCTTTACTTTTCTGTCTGAAACTGATGTTCCTTGCTCGACAAATATTAATTTGCAACAAACAAGGCTTCACCTGTATAGTAGACCACCTCGTCCCATCCCTCTCGCTGCCAGGCCGCATTTCTGGTGTTTTCTCTGGACTCCAGATCTTTATACGCTGCAAGTTACATTTGATAACTTTAGTGAGACACACTTTATCACATGAAAAAAAGAAAAAAATAATAAAATATAAATATCCTGACACACTTGGCTGCAATTTTAAGTCCAAGTCATTGTAAACTGGCCATGTGACAACTACCATTTACAATATACACAAAAACTTATATTTAATACATTATTGTAACAATATCAGGGTCAATCTGTCATAAAAGTACAATTGCTGGGTTGCAACCACCTGACCAAAAGGGGGCGTGGCAAGGGGCCGTAGGACAGGAAGTATTTTTCTCCTATTAAATAGAGTGGGAGATGCGGGAAAACGCACACACAAAAGCTTTTTGCGGCTTAATATCACTCTTATTTTGAGTGAAAACTATTTTCAATGCAGCGTACGCCTTGTAGAGTTTGAATGAGTCCAGTTTTTTCAACAATGAGGAGGATTAAGGCTGTTATAGTGACGACAGTGGAGTCGTCTCTGGGATCAACAGAAACACGTCTGAGATGATAGTTCTGATCAATAATACAATAAATAGGGCACAAATGTTACTTTTAACAACATTTGAGGCGAGAAAAATGACCCTTTGTCATTTTGGTGATTTGTTGAGCTGTAAACAACAAAAAGTTCGGACTGGGGGGAGCTCCGTAGCACAAAGCTTGGATCAATCTTCAGACATTGCCCTGGTCCTCACAGTCGTGGGAATAACTATGAACAATGACTCTCTTAACACAATGGCTAGATTATATGTGAGAAGACTGTAAAGCCTGCCTTTAGCTTTGTTATACATGTAGCTTAAATGTTGGTTTGAGACAACCTTTGGCATTAAAACATGTACTTAACAGTTCTTTCTTTTCCCTCGGTTACTACAACCATATACCACAAAAAAATACTGCATTGTATTGATGAAAGTCAGCAAAGTAGAGACTGCGGACTGTCAGCTTTGTCTGCAGCCGCAGATACTATGCAGGCTAATGCTAATGCTAATGCATTTCTTCCGTTCCTTATTAGGCATTTTCCACACAAAAAATTGACACCCGTTAGTGAAATAAATTTTAGCAAAACAGAGACTCCATAAGTTCTCCACTTGATATGAACAGTTTCCACAACTGCACACACCACAGAAAAAGAGCATTTTGACTCTGAATCAGTGAATTTTTACATTGTTTTTAATGGGGAGAATTACCTCCTGTCCCTCGGAGCACTTTTGTGCCGCTGCGTGACGTCACGCGCAACCCAGCAATATGTGTCTAGGTGTGTTTTTCTCTATGTGGTGTGTGTGAGACCAGCGAAATGATTAGAGCATGTAAACAAAACAAAAAACGACAGAAAAGACAACAATCTAAAGCCACATTTTAGCAGTTGTTAAAAGATCCAGTCGGAGAAACACTTACCCCACAAATGATGCACTTGATACAGACTGCCGATCTGAGAGAAGAAGCCGCCCACCGCCTCCTGGTTCTGCTGGCGGATGTCAATGGCACGAGCCCTGGAGGAAACAAAAACTTTAAATAAAAATACAAATAAAAAAGGAAAGTAATTTACGGTCATTACGGCAAATTACTTTTAATTACTTCCCACAAATTCAAATCAAAGTTAGGATTTTAATTTGTTATGCACCAGGCCAAATTAAACATGATTTAAAATACTAATAATATATAGCAGTAATTATAATGACGGCAAGTGTGTTGTTCGGACATGTCACAAAATACCGTGGAGTCATTTTAATTTCTGCACAATCTGCAAAACCAATAAAATATCAAAGTCAAAAGAGACATTTCCACAAACACAACTCGAAACAGAAAACACCAATGTGAATAAATACAAAATATGACATTACCAATAGTTTCCCCACTCGATCATGGTCCCAGGCTGAAACAGACAAAGACAGACATAAAAAATATGGACCCTATGTTCATTCACTCTTAATACAGTAGCCACAGTCGCCTTGGGGTAAAGCGATGGAAATGAGGCAACCATTTTGATCCATTGACCACTACTATAATTTTCAAACTAGATTATGTTAAGGTTAAGGCAATACTGGTTTCAGGTTTTGGATTAATTGCACAAGTTAAAAGTATTTGTTTTTTTTTTAACTTTATTGTGTCTCAATTGGCACAGTGAATGTACAGACTTTGTAAGAAACATACATATTTACATATGTATGGTACAGTTAAGTGCATATACACATATATATTTTCAAAGCGAAATGTGAATTGTGTCAATAGTTACAACAACAAAAAAAGTATTCATTTGAATCATATAGATTTATTAATTGTATTTTATTTAAAATCAGGATTTTTTTTAGAGAGTTCAGTCCTGGGCCCAGACAAGCAGAAAGAGAGGGTAGTGGGGGGTAAGTGACAGGGGACAAATGTTTTTAATGGTGGAGGAAACCCGAGAAGACACTGGGAAAACATGCAAACTTCAGGAGGTAAACAAGTGCCCAAATAGGACTCTGGCATAAAGAACTAGTAGTGTCTTGTACCTTAGCCTTCACAGGGCACTAGCAACTTTGCTATTAGAAATTAAAGTCTGTAGCAGCCTCCTTTACGTTTACAACCAAACCATAATGTGTCAGTTAATATAGAGATTCAAAATATGAAAACTTTCAGTGTTTCCCACACATAGGCGAATCTGTGGCGCACAGATTCGAAACCGACCGCCAAAATATTGTCTGGTTTTTTTTCTATTATTTAAATAATTAACGCTATTTAAAACACGCAGCGTATTCGTTCCGTTGCATGTTTTTTCCCCTGCTCTCCGCATGTCTCTCTGTCACCCACACGTCTCACTCACTGCTCACACACACACGGCCCCTCCCCTCCCTGCACACCGTGTCTGTCTCCATGAAAATGTCATCCTTGGAAGCGTGACCTATTTGGTGCAGAGAAGACCCCTAGCAAACACGCGATTTCGCCTTTCTTAGAAAGCTAATTAGAGTTGCAAGTTTGGGGTAAAATGTAGTTTGGTTGTCAGCAATGTTCCCCAAGGCCCCGACTCCACCGGGTGCGTAAAACGGACGACGGATCCGTCCAAACATGTCCGTTTCATCTCAGTCTCCGTTATCTCCATGAGGGTGAATGGAAGTGGCTTCACTGCCTCCAACATAAGTCCGTCCCACGCGCGTCTTTACATACACCTCGCTCTTTTTTTCTCTTGCTCTGTCCCCTCTACCTCCGAGGCGCTCTCTCCTCACCGCCGCGCGCTCCCATCCACACACACACACACACATTACCCACAGAGCTACTGCACTTATGAGAGACATCTCACAACACTGGATATGTTGGAGTTCTTTCTCCTTACTCTCTCCCCTTTTTCCAATTGCTTTCAATAAGTTTTGCCTCATCCATCGCGACGTCCTCAATGCTTCAATATGTTGTACTTTGCATAGATCATAGCCACAGCTCATACAAATCACACACCGCTTCTTCTATTTAAAACTATAGCGGCTGCCTGTTGCCTAAAGCCGCGGAGAGGCGAGTTGGGTCCGATAAAAGTGTATGACACGCTAAATAAGTAGAAAACAAACGAAGAGGCTGGATCATAATAAACGCTGCGGTCACAGACCTAAAACACACATGCACGCACACACACACACACACACACACGCTCACACGCACACCGACAAGACATGACTCCTCCATCAGCCAAACATTCATTTATTCACACAATGCCCAAACGTGTCTCCTACAAAAACAAAGCAGGCTGATAAACGCACAGCCAGAGCTGCGCGCTGCTGCAGCCGGTTTGACCACTAGTCTTTTTTATGAACGTCCGACGGACAGCAGCAAACGCGCGTCAATGGAGACGCGCCCGGTGGAGTCCAGACCTAAGCTGCGCGCGCGTGCGCAAAAGCGCCCGACACAGAAGTCTGAAGCTGCGTTTGATAAAGAACAGGGCTCGGACCAACAGCACCCTGCACACCGTGAACTCGCTCACTCGGTCTTGCTGCGGACTTGCGAGTGGTGTCTCACGAGCACTACACCAGCTGCAGTGTGTGTGTGGAGCCACAAACACACCTCACGCACACATGTAGGGAAGACCAGGTCTGGTCAGACCAGCCTCCCCTTTAGTTCAGCACAAAGTTGCCTATTGCTGAGTAAAGTTGGTTTTGTGGCAATGACTATTATTATCTTAGATAATTATTGGTCTATGTGTTTTATTTTATAAATAAAACCATGTATACCATGTATAAATCTATTTAGTTTATATCAAATATGAATTGACTAAATCCACTTTGAATAATGTGTTTTTAGTGAAATTCACCAAACATATTCCGCAATCTTCTTTAATTCACCATCTATAAAAGACTCATTGTGTTTTTGCCCTGACCCATGAAAAATTAGAGGGAACATTGGTAGTCAGGTCAAAACACATATGTAGCAGCTTTGAATGAAATAAACGTATTGTAGATAATGTTATGTCGTTTATTACTCGTACACTGAATGTTTGCTGCTTCAATCCAGATGAGTATTGAAAAGAATTTTGAAAATAAAAAAAGGCATGTGTTTTTTTTATTTTCATGCAGGTTCTGTGACGAGAGAGACAGAGAGACCGGGGCCAATACCAGAGAGAGGTTCTCCGCTCTGAAAGAGGATAGTGAGCTGCCTGTTCAGGAGGTTCCTGGCCTTGTTCCAGCTTCTTCCCTCTGTTCATATAGATCTTCACTTAGATACCCAAGGGGGTATTTTTGCACGTGTATTCCAATATGGTTTTTACTGCAAATGGCAAATTATCTGAATCAGCAAACCTCCCAAACTCCTCCTGCCCAACCTCCATCACAGTGGCCCTATGCCTCCCTCTAGTGGCAAACCTGAAACCCTACAGTACTTTTTTCATGATCTACCTTTCTCTACAGTCTTCTAACATCGCTACAGTGATGTATTGGTGACTTCAGAGAGAGCAGTTACCCTGAGCTGGTAGGACCGGAGCTCGTAGATGTTGGGTCCGGCGCGAGGAGTGGGTTCGTTCCAGAAACTGAACTCGAGAAGCAGCTGATTCCTGCGAGACAGAAGCATCTTCCCCCGCTCCGATCTGTACTTACTGAACTCCTGCAAAAACAACAGCGGGCCATAACTTTCACTCATTCTGACATCACATCATTAATACAAAGTACTTTCAGTTCTAGGGAGATTATAGTTAAGGGCAAATCCCAAGTTGTCCTCAATTTGGCCATAGAATATGATCTTAAACAATTGTGTTTCTTTTTTTAGAAGGGGAAAGAATTTTGTATGTAAGTGAAACACCGTCATCTAGTGGTTTCAAGAAAAAAGGACATTCATTAATTCGACTAGAATGTCCAAAAACGATTTTTAGAAGAAATCCAGAAAACAGCTCTGTCCTTGAAATCATGATTGGATCAAGCCTAACAAGTATAAAAACTTTTTTAAAGGCAGAAGGTGCAGAGTGACTGGAGATGCAGCTGAGTGAGCAATTGTAGATAAAAAAACATTTGCCCATAATATTTGTCCTTTAATATTTATATTTAGACATTAGGTTATTCTATAAATTGCAGTCTTGGTAAAGCAACATCTGCGGCCCTCTGTGATGTGGACTAACGGGGGTGCATATGTAGTGGATCTAATCTGACCCCCCGTTACCTTATTCTGTCTGAGTTTGCTCATGACTTCGGTGAGAGCTGGGTATCCTCCCCGATATCTCCACAGGTGAACTGGAATAGAAGCAGCACAAGAGCCAACGATAATGCAGCTCTCTCACATCGAAGAGAAGAGAATCCACTGGTTTAAAGTTATTCTACATGTGGCAGCCAAACTCTGGACACCGACTGATTCTTGGTTTTGTGATGCATTATCGGCAAAGTTGATTTAGATCCAACAAAAACCGAATTCAAAATATATATACGTCCATCAAAATTAAAAAAAGGTTAGTGGTTACCCAGACCAGACCATTTTATTTTTCTATTAAACCGCATTGATTCAACAAATGAGTTGCAAAATAAATAAGCAAATATAGTCAAGAAATTAAGGCCTGTAAACCGAACTCACAAATGTTGACCCTCCAGATATATAGTTAGTTATATAGCTTGGTTTTCTAATTATCTATTACCACACAGATATTGTTGTCGGTGCACCTAATACTGTAGACACCACTACTTTATGATTGAAAAAAGTAACTCCTTGAACTGCTGTGCTTTCTTCTTTTCCATTATCAATATAAATCCTCATTGAAAACAAACAAAAACATTGAAATATCCCCACTAAAGAATGAATAAAGGTTTGTCTTATGTCGGCTCTCAGTGCTCTTTAGCTTTGATACAGATATTTTGTGATGGCGACAACAAAACAATCAAAAGAACGGTTAATGAAATATCAAAATAGTCTTTAGTCTATTACCATTCATGCGTCGATAGTGAACGTAATGTTAAAGATTTCCTTGCTGCGGTAATTGCTATAAATCCCAAACTTACAGGCGCTGAAAGGAGGCTAATCCTTTAATGCCCGGCTCACGGTTGTTGTTTGTTTGTGGGTCTCGTACCTGCCTGGTCCTGCTCCCCGTACCATGTGTTCCAGGTCCCCACCAGCTCACAGGGATACTCGGGGTCTGCGTGGATCGAAGGCAGCACTTCTTCACTAGAGGAAAAGTATAGTTACATTATGATGTGTGTATGTATAAAAATACAAACAGGAGATATGGGGTTTCTTACCAAAGTTCATTGTAATCATCGAGGCACTCAGGCTTGACATTGTGAACTAGACAAAAGATATTTATTTAGACAATATTATTATTTTAGTTATCATACAGGAAAGATGACATTTGCTACTACTGCTGCAACTGCTGCTGCTGCTACAACTATGACTGGAAGAAGATTTATATGGTCATTGGTCAAGTATTCAAAATAGTAAAGACAAGATCAAAAAGGTAAATCTCATTAAGCAATAACAAAACTAGAAAACCTGGATCTGCTTGTTGCTGAGAACTGACTACTTTTAGATAACATTTTTCAACGAACAAATTAAAATCAATTTATTTATTAAGTCCTTGTGGTCCAGATACCAATCGTGACAATAATACATACACTGTATTTTGTAAAGGTTGAGGTCTTCCTTCTTTGAGAGCAATTGGGCATGAGCGTCCTTCCTGGGGTCGACTTTTCTCACAAACAGAGACTTGAACCAACTGTCAGAGGAACCAGAGACACCCCTAACACACAGAAAACACAATAAACATTGTCAATTTTATTCTTTATTTCTTTAAAATGTCCTGATTCTTCTTTTGATGGTCTGGGAAAGGCGCTATATAAATCAAGCTTACTTACAATGCTTTGGTGCAGACTTTTCTCACATGACTAAGTAATATAATTATGTGTAATGAGACTCATTATACCAGAACAGTCACACAGGGCTAAGCAATAATTATGTGAAAAGAAATCATAGGCCGTTTTGGTTTTATAGTCACATTCACTGCATCCCTATATACACACAACTGAATAGAAATGAGATACTATAACAATAAGCTGTTTGCAAGTCCAAAACATATCCATCTACTTCCACAATTGAGCCTGTATAGAGAAAGCAACCATAGAAGATAAATCAGAGTGTCTTATTATGATTAGGAATTACAACTATCTAATAGTTGACTAATTCTAGGAAATATATTACATTTCTTCCCCACACAACGCAGCTACTGAACTTATATGTAGCCTCCTGAACACTGAGAAAGCATGTAGTGTACTAACAAAACAAACACAGAATAAAGAGGGGAAAACAAAAATGCTAACGTGAATAAGTTTATATGGACTTGTGTAGATACAGACTGATCCAATCCATTTCTGCTTTGAGCATCAGCACAATCTGACCTTCAAAGTTTGGAGTTGGGTGCTGTTTAAAACGCCACAAGTGATTAATACAAGTGATTATTACAACTTATTAATCAGTCTCTAGAGCAACCCAGTGTTGTAATAAAAAAATAAAAAATGTCACATGCATGTCTGAGGCTAATGTTAGCATCACATAACACCGGGCAGCAATCCCAGCCCAACTTTAGCATTAGCCTGTTAGCTCACAGTAGTTTGTCATTGCTGCGAAACACGTTATCACTCACCAAACCCCCTTTAACCTGGAGAGAGGTTAATAAGTTCAAAAGCCTTTACCTTGTGGCTGTAATGACTTGTCCATTCGCAACAATAGCATTTCTTGTGCATTTGAGCCCGCTGCAGGCTCTTTGAAGGACTCCGGTCGCCATCTTTATCCCGTCCAAACCTGTCACGGAGGCGCTGTTGTCACACAAAAACCAGTGTTCCCCAACCTTTTGACCCGTGGCAATCATGTGGCGCACCACCAGCGGAAAATGTGACAAAAAATGAAACTCCACAGCCGTATTTAACAATGCAAAGTCATTATAATCAAAGTGTATTGAATAATCAAACATGCACAGAGAAAAAAAAAATTGCTATCTTCTCACACTCTTCATCCAAAGTTATTATTTTTTACCATTTAGGTAATATTTTATCATTTCCAAAAGCACACCTGACAAAATCTTGAGGCACACTCGTTGAAAAACACTGGTATAGACTACAATCACAGTCCTCTGAATAAAATGTTTCAAGCTTTTCATAATTTGTCCATAACATGTGACTGTTTTGTTCTTGTAATTGCTTATGTGTAAATTGTGTACCTCTTGAAAGCCGCAATAACAACTACCTTGTAAAAAAAACAATGTGTAAAGGAAAACCAATTTACACTACATAAACTATAAAAAATGTAGGATGCATAAGAGCAATATTTTTTACCAGATAGAATTTCAACCACAAAAAAATTGAGACAAATTTCTAACTTTTCCCTGTTTGGTTGTGTCTCTCATTTGCATATGGATGTGATTGTTGGCCTCTGTCTCTTTAAATCAGAGGCATTTATGTTTGGAGACCACCCTCACTGACAATAGGAAAGCAAAGATAAAGTTTTCTTAGTCAAATGAAGACGGCATGACGTAATGTAATTTTTTGTTCCGTAGCTTTAAGAGTTAAACATCTTCCAATACACCAATATAGAATTACAAATAAGAATCAAAATCAAGCAATATGTATCATTAGACAATACATTTTCTTTGAATTATTGTTTATTCAGTTGTGACATTAAATAGTGAATCAGATTTTTTTTTTAAAATAGGAAATACAGCTATTCTTCACGAGGATGGAGGTTGTGATGTTAAAGATTCACTGGATGACGCAGAAATGTCCAGTTCCTTCAGTTTGTCTGATAATGTCTCGTTCAGGTCGTTCAGGAGATCTTCTGTTGGTTCCACAAACTCCACTCCTGCCACACGTTTCCCGGTCAAAGGATCCACGACTCTTCCCACTTTGTACACAATCTCCGCTAGTTCATGCTTCACGTGCTTAGACCTGGGTTCAGGAAGAGCCTTGAGCAGGACGATGTCTCCCACAGTGCACTGCTCCAGAGCGTCGTGGGCAAAGTAGGTCTTCCTCTTGTTGAAGTACTGAGGAGGGAGAGACATACATGCATTTTAGAACTGTTTTAAGATTTGGCAGTGCACATAAAGGACAAAAAGGAGAAAACAAAATATACAAAGATAAATAGATGACAATGCTTCTTAAAGGAATAGGCCACCGTTTTTCCATACTGACATATGTTCTTACCTTAGACTAGTTGATATGTACCTGTCTGGTCTTTGTCATGCAAACAGAGCACAAACGCAGCCTCTTCCACATACTGTATAGTAACAAATCAGCTCCCATTAGAAGCTACCAAACTCTTCCACGTGTTTCCTATTTAAATACAGTTACGTGACGTGTTACACTACCAAGTATAATAACACAGAAACACAGAGCTGATTTGTTACTATACAGTATGTGGAAGAGGCTGCTCAGACAAAGAGCAGTCCAGACAGCACTTATACGAAACCAGTGACGTCGCCCGGCATGGCGTAGCCGGGGCCCCACCCTGGAGCCAGGCCTGGGGTCGGGGCTCGTAGGCGAGCGCCTGGTGGCCGGGCCTTAGCCCACGGGGCCCGGCCGGGCTCAGCCCGAATGGACGACGTGGGCAGTCCCTCCTGTGGGCCCACCACCTGCAGAGGGGTCCGTGGTGGCGTGGTGCAGAGAGGACTGGGCAGCGGTCGAAGGCGGAGACCTCGACGACCCAGTCCGCATACACAACAGCTGGCTCTTGGGACGTGGAACGTCACCTCACTGGGGGGGAAGGAGCCCGAGCTTGTGGGGGAGGTTGAGCGATACCGACTAGAGATAGTCGGCCTCACCTCCACACACAGCTTGGGCTCTGGAACCCAACTCCTTGAGAGGGGTTGGACGCTCCACTTTTCTGGTGTTTCCCGCGGGGAGAGGCGGCGAGCTGGGGTGGCCATTCTCATTGCCCCCCATCTCAGCCGCCACGTGTTGGAGTTCTCCCCGGTGAATGAGAGGGTCGCGTCCCTCCGCCTCCGGGTGGGGGACAAGTCTCTCACTGTTGTGACGGCCTACAGGCCTAACGGCAGTGCAGAGTACCCGGCCTTCTTGGAGTCCTTGGGAGGGGTACTGGACGGTGCACCGCCCGGGGACTCCGTTATTCTCCTGGGGGACTTCAACGCCCATGTGGGAAATGCCAGTGACACTTGGAGAGGGGTGATCGGGAAGAGCGGCCCCCCTGATCTGAACCCGAGCGGTGTTCAGTTGTTGGACTTCTGTGCCAGTCACAGTTTGTCCATCACGAACACCATGTTTCGAGCACAAGGGTGTCCACCAGTGCACGTGGCACCAGGACACCCTAGGCCGGAGGTCGATGATCGACTTTGTTGTCGTATCATCTGACCTTCGACCGCGTGTCTCGGACACTCGGGTAAAGAGAGGGGCGGAGCTGTCAACCGATCATCACCTGGTCGTGAGTTGGATCCGCTGGCAGGGGAAGAAGCCGGTCAGACCTGGCAGACCCAAGCGTATAGTGAGGGTCTGCTGGGAACGTCTCGCTGAGCCCCCTGTCAGACGGACTTTCAACTCACACCTCCGGGAGAGTTTCTCCCAGGTTCCGGTGGAGGACGGGGACATGGAGTCCGAGTGGACCATGTTCTCTGCCTCAATCGCCGATGCGGCGGCTCGTAGCTGTGGTCGCAAGGTCTCTGGTGCTGGTCCCGGCGGCAACCCCCGAACCCGGTGGTGGACACCGGCAGTAAGGGATGCTGTCAGGCTGAAGAAGGAGTCCTATCGAGCCATGATGGTTCGGGGGACTCCTGAGGCAGCTGTCCAGTACCGGCAGGCCAAGCGTGCCGCGGCCCGGGCTGTTGCAGAGGCAAAAACCCGGGACTGGGAGGAGTTCGGAGAGTCCATGGAGCATGACTATCGGTCGGCCTCAAAGAAATTCTGGCAAACCGTCCGGCGCCTCAGGAGGGGGAAGCAGTTCTTTGCCAACACCATGTACGGTGCGGGTGGAGAGCTGCTGACCTCGACGGGGGATATTGTCGGGGCGGTGGAAGGAATACTTTGAGGTTCTCCTCAATCCCCCCGTCACGTCCTCTGTTTCAGAGGCAGAGGCTGAGGATGTTGGGGCGGATACATCCATCTCCCTGGCTGAGGTCACCAAGGTGGTTGGTAGCCTCCATGGTGGCAAAGCTCCGGGTGTGGATGAGATCCGCCCTGATTATCTAAAGTCTCTGGATGTTGTAGGACTGTCTTGGCTGACACGTCTCTGCAACATCGCGTGGCGATCGGGGGCGGTGCCAATGGAGTGGCAGACCGGGGTGGTGGTCCCTCTCTACAAGAAGGGGGACCGGAGGGTGTGTTCCAATTATCGTGGGATCACACTCCTCAGCCTCCCCGGTAAGGTCTACTCCAAGGTACTGGAGAGGAGGCTACGGCCGATGGTCGAATCTCGGATCCAGGAGAGGCAGTGTGGTTTTCGTCCCGGTCGCGGAACACTGGACCAGCTCTATACTCTCCATCGGATACTCGAGGGTTCATGGGAGTTCGCCCAACCTGTCCACATGTGCTTTGTGGATTTGGAGAAGGCGTTCGACTGTGTTCCCCGGGGTGTCCTTTGGGGGGTTCTCCGGGAGTACGGGGTCGGGGGTCCTCTGCTGAGGGCCATCCGGTCCCTGTATGACCAGAGCCAGAGCTGTGTTCGCATTGCCGGCAGTAAGTCAGACCTGTTCCCGGTGAATGTTGGCCTCCGACAGGGCTGCCCTTTGTCACCGGTTCTGTTCACTGTATTTATGGACAGAATATCTAGGCGCAGCCAGGGGTCGGAGGGGGTCCGGTTCGGGGACCACAGGATTTCATCTCTGCTGTTTGCGGACGATGTTGTCCTGTTGGCTCCAACGAACCAGGACCTGCAGCATGCACTGGGACGGTTTGCAGCCGAGTGTGAAGCGGCTGGGATGAGAATCAGCACCTCCAAATCCGAGGCCATGGTGCTCGACCGGAAAAAGGTGCCCTGCCCTCTGCAGGTGGGTGGAGAGGTCCTTCCTCAAGTGGAGGAGTTCAAGTATCTCGGGGTCTTGTTCACGAGTGAGGGAAGAATGGAGCGTGAGATTGACAGGCGGATCGGTGCAGCGTGCGCAGTGATGCGGTCGCTGTATCGGACCGTTGTGGTGAAGAGGGAGCTGAGCCGAAAGGCAAAGCTCTCGATTTACCGGTCAATCTTTGTTCCCTCCCTCACCTATGGTCATGAGCTTTGGGTAATGACCGAAAGAACGAGATCGCGGATACAAGCGGTCGAAATGAGCTTCCTCCGCAGAGTGGCTGGGCACTCCCTTAGAGATAGGGTGAGGAGCTCAGTCACACGGGAGGAGCTCGGAGTAGAGCCGCTGCTTCTCCACGTCGAGAGGAACCAGTTGAGGTGGCTCGGGCATCTGTTCCGGATGCCTCCTGGACGCCTCCCTGGGGAGGTGTTCCGGGCACGTCCCACCGGGAGGAGGCCCCGCGGAAGACCTAGGACACGCTGGAGGGACTATGTCTCTCAGCTGGCCTGGGAACGCCTTGGGGTCCCCCCGGACGAGCTGGAGGAGGTGTGTGTGGATAGGGAAGTCTGGGCGTCTCTGCTTAGACTGCTGCCCCCGCGACCCGGAAACGGATGAAGCGGAAGAAAATGGATGGATGGATGGATGATTATTATTTTCTGATAAATGTTTTACTATATCATAAGAACTTGTATTAAACAACTCATAAAACAAGTATTATTTTGAATTTAAGTGCCTTGATAAATGCTCATTGAGGTATCGGATTGACATAAAGTATTATTGATAGAGTTTGAAATGTTAGTATTGCAACAACACTATATGCATCAGTTATCTAACATATATACCTTGTTCTATACTTTTATCGTCAACATGTTTTTATATAATATATATATATATATATATATATATATATATATATATATATATATATATATATATATATATAAAGCTCACTCGTTGATAGTAAAGCAGACATTTTATTAAGTTGAGGAGTGAGATTACCTTTAGCAGATAGGGATCCAGGGACAGTCTCGTGACTCTAACCTTCGCAGTCCTCATCATTTTGGTCCCTATCACTCTCCCAATGATCCATGTGGCCTGAACAGCGGCTCGTTTCACAGACATCTTCAAATATTCATATGCAGATTACAGAAGCAGCTGAAAAGTCAGACACAGAACTCACTTATCATTGGCAAACAAAGACAGTGCATAACCACACAATGAAAGCAGTGGCTGTTATATACATTAACATAGCCTCAGGCAAGTTATCTCGTTTATGGAGAAATAAAACGAACGCAGACAAGTTTGGCTAGGTTAGCTGATAGCATAAAACAGCTAACGCTAGCTTCAAAACGTAACACTTACCTTTAAAACACAAAATAAGTAGATTTCTGTGACGACACTTGCAACACAAACACGGTGTTGATCAAACGAGCACTACAGGAATTTATTACATAAGAAATAACAGAAGGTCAAACGCGAGGCTTCTCCATCATGCTGTGGTTCAGAGGGACATGTTTTGACGACGCACGTAGTACGGGAGGCGGCAAAGGACAATTCCAAAAACGTTGATAACATACAGTACAGAATAATTATAACAATAACAATGACAACAATAATAATAATATCATTAGTAATGATAATGATGATTGTATAATGTAATGATATTGAAGCACCTGTTTAGATCTATAATAGTGTGACATTTAGGGGTATTTTTCTTTCGTTTTTCGTTGTCTATTATTATTCAGCTTGCAGTTCTCAACCTGCAGAGTTCAATAAATGATGACATCACTACTTTTATTTAAAAAAAAGAGTGGATAGGTTTTAGAGTTCCAAGTCTTAAGATGAAGTGCAAAGAATGTGAGTGTTCTTTTCATAGACATATTACATAATTTGTTGAATGTTTAACCTCCACAAGCACATCCAGAATGAATCATAATAATTGAATGAAGAATGTTACTGAAAATGAGAATAAAGCAAATAAAAAGTCCTAAAAAGTACACATTAGTACAAAGATACAAAGTTACATGTCATGACGGAACTGTTTTCTGTTCCACCACCATTCCATTATATGTCCATTACTTCCATTATAATTCAATTAAAACAATACTGTTTTAACAATGTATTTTCTCTTACTCACAACAATTTCTCTGTTAAATCCTCTGAGTGTGACATCAAAGAGACATACTGTATTTGACCCCTCTCATTGTGGTTTTTGAGTAGTTTTATTTTTTTATTAACATATATTAACATTTATGGACCAATGTTTGTTATTATTTAATTTCCTGTGTTCAAACTGTTTGATTCTCTGATCTGTTGTTCGTGAATTATCAACTTTGCAAAGTCCACCAAGACGACTGCTGTTGTGATATAGGGCTCTACAAAAATAAATATAATTAATTAAAATTGACACCCCTTGTCAAGGCCAACATTAATCATTTTGTTTTTTTTATAATTTGGGCGGAAAATAAACAATTCTTAACCAGAGCAGAAAACAAACGGCTGTGGTCATACTTCCATCCGTTTAAAATGAAGTAGTTTCTCACATGTTTATTCTTTGTGTGCGCTCCAGCAGTGGTAGCCCTGAGCCCCACACCGCTGATCTCAACCACAGTCGGACCAATCTGGACTTAATCAGAACGATGCTGTAAAGCTCAGTCCAGGGCTTGTGTTTTCCATTTAAGGCAGTGCGAGGCTGGTACTCTACTGCCAAAATCACATTGGCCAACCTTCCAAAAACACTGAGAGTATTCACAAAGTCCCGATTGTTGTTTTGCATGTTCCTTGTTTGCACTCAAAAGTAATTAATTATTCAAAATCAAAGATGGCTGTTCTTCTTCTGTACTTTCTGGGGGCTATAAAAGTCAACAAGAAAGCATGGAGTGGTTTAGCTGGAGATGTAGGAAAGACTGGGTCATTAAATCTGCTTTTTTTTACAAATAACAAAAAAATACTTTTTGGATGCATAGTTATTTTGAAGAAAATGTCCTTGAGGTTTTTTGTGAGTCAGATACATGGCTCAATTAGAGTGGTCCAAAGTATCAAAAATCAGATAATAATGCAAACAAATAATAGTAAACATACTAGAAGGGCTTATGCTTCACGGCAAGAAGGTCCTGGGTTTGATTCCACCTCCTGGCCTCTTTGTGTGGAGTTTGCATGTTCTCCCTGTGTCTCCGTAGGTTTCCTCCAGGTGCTCCGGTTTTCCCCTTCCACTAAAATCATGTACAATAGGTCTGAATGTAATGAGAGAGTGAAACTTTAACCATGTGAGTGAGAAGTACAAGAAAAAAAGTTTAGTTTAAAAAATCAATTAATGTGTGGGGAACAAAAAGTAAAGTGTGATGCATGCCAAGCAGTAAAAAAATATATATACTATGTAACACTTGGAAAAAAAAAACAACCTTTTTTTCACTAAGAAAGACGGTGGGACAATTTTTTTATTCAAACATGGCATGGTAACTTTGCATCTTTATGTGTACTTTATAGGACACATTTTTTTATTTGCAGTAACAGACTTCATTCAATCATTATTATTCATTTTGTATAGATGGGGCGGGGTACGTGATATTATTGGATCTTGTTACCACGAACACAACAGAAGTTTTTGATGCACCAGTATCTTAGTTCCGTCATCCCTGTGTGTAGCAAGTATGTAAAAATATCTGAACTTTGAACTCCTTGGTCTGTAAAATGGGCTATATAAATAAAATCATACATTAGAATCTCATACGAGCAAGACTCCATACTGAAAAGACACAACCAGGACTAAATGACCATACATCCCGACAACGTCTCCCATTAGCACTGGCGCTATAATGAATGTTTACTTATAGATAATGCATATTTCATGGAGCACGTTTGGGGCAGTTCCTAATCTCCTCTGAATCCTGGGAATAAGTGACATAACCCAGAGGCTGATACCACACACTGGGTTTGATAAAACTCAAGAACCAGGCCATTCTTGCTGAACTAATGAGCTACATGTATTTTGTAACCGACGACTCCCTTGATACACGTTTGGAAACAGTATGCGATTAATTTGATTTGATTTGTTGAATATTAGCTGATTATATGTACTTTTGTGGCCAGTGCATGGGGTCAGTTTGATTTGGGGAATTAAAGGCAACTTTTAGAAAATGACGTGATTTACTCCGGCGAATTATACAGCACTTAACCTGTGTTACCCCCATATGGATGTATGTGCCTGGAATGTTCCACAGTATGGCAGTTCTGTCAATGTCAACGTCAGCTTTAGTTGCATATTTGCCCATTAGTTGCAAATTTACAACAATACTAGCTGCCCAAAGTGCTTCGCAGGCGCAAAAGAGAACAGAAAAGCAAACAGCATGAAGTACACACAAACTAAAAGAAATGTGAAAGAGTAGAACTTAGATGGTGTTAAAAACAAGGCACAAATGTGTCTCTCATTGGAGATTTTAAAACCTCCAATGAGGGACCTGCTTTAATGTACTGAGACCGGAGAGAGAGAGACGAGAGACAGACCAGAGAGAGACCAGAGAGAGACCAGAGAGAGACCAGAGAGAGACCAGAGAGAGACCAGAGACAGACCAGAGAGAGACCAGAGAGAGAGACCAGAGAGAGACCAGAGCCAGACTAGAGAGACAGACCAGAGAGAGACCAGAGAGAGACCAGAGAGAGACCAGAGAGAGACCAGAGAGAGACCAGAGACAGACCAGAGAGAGACCAGAGAGAGACCAGAGCCAGACTAGAGAGACAGACCAGAGAGAGAGACCAGAGACAGACCGGAGAGACAGACCAGAGACAGACCAGAGAGAGACCAGAGACAGACCAGAGAGAGACTAGAGAGAGAGACCAGACACAGACCAGAGAGACAGACCAGAGAGAGACCAAAGAGAGAGAGAGACCAGAGAGAGAGAGAGACCAGAGATAGACAGACCAGAGAGGTACCACTAGAGACAGACCAGAGAGAGAGAGAACACCACACAGAGATAACAGCTCTGCCAAATACAGGAACTAAACCAGTTACAAATCTAAGAACAAGTGAAGAGAGAACTGCACAGGGGTGATGTGCTCTCTTTTACAAGCAGCAGCATTCTGGACCTGCTGAAGGCGCTTAATTGAGCTTAGGTCCAGACCACACAACAGCAAGTTACAATAATCTATCTTGACTAAATAAAATGTACATAACTTGCTCTAAGTCAGTAGGAGGAATACAGGCCTTAAATGTTCTTTTGTAGAAGCTGCTTTAATAACTAAAGTGGATATTTCCCATTTATAATTACAATAGGCATTTCTTTGGAAAAAAAGACAATACAAGCATAATATTGAGTCACTTTTTCACAGATCTGGATTGAACACTAGCAACACAAAAACACGGTTAAATCTCCAGTTAATCAAGTAAGAGTCAGAAAGATGTCAAAAAGACGTCATGAAGCGAATCAGTGCCAAGTTCATACGTGAACAACTGAACAATAGGAGAGAAGTTCAGCACTGAAAGTAAGGAGCCAAAGGAAAAAGTTTAAATTATTGTTTACTTGGTTTTCCATGTGGCCCTTCGGTTATTACTGTGAAGCGGGAACTCTCTTCCTGTTTTTTGTTTGTGAAATGTATCAGAAAAAGGTTTTGTTAAACGTAGGTTGTGGGTTGTTGAGCTCGTTGTAGAAGTCAAAAGTTGAACCTGTGACATAGAATAAGCGAGGAAGGGAGAGGCATGGCTGACAGGAAAAAAGCTAGGCAGCGCTAACATAATACGGCAGTTTGTCATTAGGAGCTAATCTCACCGACGGCTGAAAGGTGAATAAATGTGTTCCCCTTTTTGAGCCGCGGCCAAATCTCTGCACATGTTGTTAAGACATGGCTGTTCTGCGAGGAATGTTGTGTCTCTTTTCGAGGCTTTAGTTTCACTCTGTGCTTTAATGTCAGTGAAAAAAGGTAAAGACAATGGTGCATGTCTGGAGACTGTTCACTCAACAGGCATCAACCTTTTCAATAATACTAAACTTATTTATTTATGTATTTATTTGTTTGGAGAATTAGCCTTTCGAGGGGGTCCTCATAATTGCACCAAATGACAGATA